GGAAAGGAGGGAGGGAGGGGAAGGAGGAGGGAGGGAGGGAAGGGAGGGAGGGAGGAGAGGGAGGGAGGGAGGGAGGAGAAGGGAGAGGAGGAGGAGGAAAGGAGGGAGGGAGGGAGGGAAGGAGGGAGGGGAGGGGGGGAGGGAGGGGAGGGAGGAGGGNCTTCCCTCTGGCGAGCGCTCTCACCTCTCCCTTCCATCTCTTGGCCTCTCTTCCTCTCTCGTCCTCTCCCTCCCTCCTCTTCTCCTGCTCGAGCGCTCTCGCTCTCACCTTCTCCCCTTCCCTTCTCTTGCCTTCTCGAGCGCTGCTCCTCTCCCTTGCCTCTCTTCTCTCTGACGCTCTTCCGCTTTCCGCTCCCTTCTCTATCTGAGTCTCCAGTCACACCGCCAGTCAGGGACCAACTGCAGGCAGCAGGATATTTTTGTTGCCGCGAGGAATTGGGGATGACGTTCGAGAGACATAACGGGCAAGAGAGGAGAGAGGCGGGAGCGGAGTGGAGAGGGAGAATGTGAAGGATTATGAAAGGATATAGAGGGGGAGGGAGAAGAGAGAGAGGAAGAGAGGAAGAGAGGAAGAGGAGGAAGAGAGGAAGAAGCATGAAGAGAGAGAGAGAGAGGGGAAGAGAGGGAGAGGGGAGGGAGGAGGGTAGGGGAGAGAGAGAGAGAGAGAAGAGGGAGAGAGAGAGAGAGAGAGAAGAGAGAGAGAGAGAGAGCAGAGAGAGAGAGAGAGGAGAGAGAGAGAGAGAGAGAGTAGCCGTCGTGGCCTATCTAGGACAGCGGGGGGGTAGTGAGCGATGAGAGAAGGAAAGAGGGACGTAGTAGAGGTTGGAGGAGAAGTGCAGAGGAAGTAGAGAGAGAGCTCTCGTGAGAATGTTCAGGTGTAGTTGTAGATGAACCGGAAATGAGATTGCGGGGCTAGATAGAGTGTGTATGTGTTATAGAAGGTGTAGAGGTAATGATTATATATATATATATATATATATATATATTAATATATTTATATACATATATACATAGAGGAGAGAGAGAGAGAGAGAGAGAGAGAGAGAGAGAGAGAGAGAGAGAGGAGAGAGAGAGAGAGAGAGAGAGAGAGGAGAGAGAGAAGAGAAAATGAGGAGAGGAGGGGGGGGGGGGAGAAGGAGGGAGGGGTAGAGGAAAACGAGGGATAAGGAAGAAAAAAGGGGAGAGAGATAGAGAGATAGATTAGAATAGATAGATAGAAGAGGAGATATTAAAGAGGAGAGATAGAGAGAGCGAAAGAGAGAGAAGGAAAGAAAAGGGGAGGTAGGATAGATAGATAGATAGATAGATAGATATAAAGAGGAGACAGAAAAAGAGGAGAGATAGAGAGAGCAAGAGAGAGAAAGAGACGAGAGAGAGAGAGAGAGGAGAGAGAGAGAGAGAGAGAGAGCGAGAGAGAGAGAGAGAGAGGAGAGGAGAGAGCGAGAGAGAGAGAGGAGATAGAGAAAAGAAGTGGGACAGAATCAGCAAGAGACAGACAAACAGGAAGAAAAAAATACACAGAAAATGTCCCCCATTGTAATTTTTCGGTGGAATTTCAATAGAAAGAAAATTACTTGAAAAACGATTCGAAGAAGAATCACAGACACACCCTGTTCTGTAATGGATCTGACAAACATAGTCTTGAATCCGGCACTGTCCGGGAAATAGGGTGCCGGAAAATCGGTGTTGTACTTTTCTATGTGTGTATGTGTGTGTTTTACTGAGCCTTCATACAGAAACATCCAGCAAATAAGAAATATCAGAAAACAACAAAAACAAATAAATTTCTCTCTCTCAAAAAACGGGCAAAATAAACATAATAACTTCTTCCCCTACAAAAAAAAAAAAAAAAAAAAACGAAAAAAAGAGAGAAAGAGAGAGAGAGAGAGAAGAAGAAAAAAAAGGGATCCACAACCTCACACAAACAAATAATAAAACAAAACAAACATACTCAAGGAAGTGCGTGATCTCCTTCCGGCTGCAAGTTGGACGCACCGGACACAGGAAAGGGCTCGCTGTCAGGTGCGGGACATGACAATTGCTGGCTGCACTGATGCCCGTACCTATGCGCTTGACAGCTTCTTAGTGTTCGTATGACGTGTTCTGTCCGTCGGATCCGGTCGAGGCCGCAGATATGGCATTGTCAGTGTCGATCGTCATTCGATTGATTCGGGTCAGCATGTGCTTGGATATGCGGAGGGCGATGCAGGAGGATCATTAGACGTTAGTGCATAGAAGCACTCACGCTGAGAACGTTTCGCGCCTCATTCTACGTAAGAGAGAGAAGAGAGAGAGACGAGACGATGTCGCGGGGTAGTGTTGGACTACGGTCGTATGGTGTTGTCTTCTATCTGCAAGAGACAGAAAAGAAGTGAGCCTTTAGGGCGGTATGATAATCAGGGCTCGCGAGATGTTGCTCTGGTGTGCAGGTCGGGTATAAGGACTAGGCTGTGTTGTAGTGTGTCACTGTTACGGCACTGGACGCAGAACGTGTGTTATATTTTATTTGTGAGTTGTGTGTTGGGCTGTCACGCGCGCGGGGGGACTGGGTGGGGGGGGGGGGGGCGCGGGGTTAGAGGGAGGGGCGGCTGGGGGGGGCGAAGAGATGGGGTGGGACTGGTAGGGGGGGGGTCTTGGGGAGGGGTGGTGAGGGAGAACAGCGGATTGCGTGTGGGGGGAGGGGGGGGGGAGTGTGGGGCGGAGAGAGAGGCGGGGGCTGGGGAGTGGACGTGGGGGATGATGTGTCGGGGGGGCAAGGGGAGCGGGGGTGGCGGGGGGGGTGCGGGGTGGGTCCGGCTGCGGGTGGGTGGGGGGGTAGAGGGGCTGTGGGGGAACCAGCGGTCGGCCAGGCGAGGTGTGGGGGGGGCGCGGGGGGGTGCGTGGGGGGGCCGCGCTGGGGCGCTTCGCGGAAGGTTGTGAGAGGTTGTGATGGTGTTTAGTAAGTAAATTACTGATGAATAGGTTGACTCGAGGGCGCTAAACGTGGATGTGAGTGCCCTCGATCATGGAGTAGAGTCACACAACTAATAATGGGTATGCAGGAATCTGTGAAGTTTCTTGGCTGCGACGATAGGTCGAGCATGACATGACGAACGTTCTGACTGAGAGATGGAATATCTATCTGATTGGTGCTGATCCGGTGTATGGGGAGCATGGGTCGCCTCGTGAATGTTTCGTGTGAGCATATACGCTCACGCGACTGTCGTGCGTTTTGGATCTGCTAATTGCTGATTAGGAGTCTGGATCGTCTGCTGCTTGTATGTGATGTGCGAGCGCGATGGTCTTGAAGAGAGAGATCTCGTTCTCGTCCGAAATGAAGATGATATCGATAACAATCATGGAATCGATACCAATAAGATGGATGTGATAATAACTGAAAATATTAATAAGCACAACAATAAATAAGCTGATCGGTTGATGATAAAAAGCAAAATGATATATGATAATAAGAAAATGAATTGATCAGGATACCAAATAATAATATAGAATAAGTATCAATACAAACGATCACCACACTTGAGTATGCTCACAGGTGATCTGATCGGTCAGAGAAGATCGTAGTCGCTGCACTCTGTGAATAGCTGTCACCATATATCGTTCTGTTATGAGCCGTCAATGCTTACTGATCGACGTGTCGTCAGAAGGTTCAGTATCTTTATCGAACGGGATACGGTGAGTGTGTTTTGGTATAGAGTCGGCTTCTGCAGCTAGCTAGGAGGACAACGGCGAACAATATCCAAACAATATACAAACAGACACGTAGACAAACAACTACTTCACAAAATCTTGACTTGTGGCCAAGTTCATGAGCGATGTGTGTATGCAATGCTGCAAAGGCCTGCTGTCCTCGTATGTCACAGTTGCATAGAGCGCAGAGGCTGACAACATGCTCATTTCGAATGCCTGCGATCATCTGCGACTCCGCAGCGTGGAACAACCTCTC